TATATATATATATATATATATATATATCACTTTCTATTCGTTCCAGAAATCAAGGGATTCAATCCCAACCTTAACTGGTATATCATGAGAATAAGCAGCACAACAGAATTCTTAAAGAATCTTCTATTTTTTCAATATATGCCAATGTATATTCTCAATTAATTATCGCATCATAATTGAACCGAGATGGCCAACCAGTCATGCCAACTAATATTTGTTCTACTAAACCTCTAGTTTACTTGTGGCATGTAATTGCACCATCATGCTTATACTCGTACAACACAAATAGACAAAAAATCGGGTAATCTTTTATATTTATCCCATATTATTATAATAATATGAAAATATTCAATCTTACTTTCATTTATAGTCTCAATATGCCAACCACTTAGCTAATATATTTGAAATTCAAAAAGTTTTTTTTGAGACTTACTACAATATCAATGTCATAGATAATTTTATTCATCGTGGTAGTAACAAATTAGTTCTTTCAGGCTCTTAATCGATTTTGTACTACAAAATTTTTTGTCACGCTATCCTAATGATGAATGTCTTTTTCACGGATAAACTTATATCATAATAATTGTCATGGTCAATGAGAAAATACTAAACATTAATCAAAGTACTCCTATTTAGAACGCTCACCAAGTTTCTAGATAATGATCAAATTGATGAAAGGTCATCAATAAGAATAATGAACTAACTTGGGAGCATGGACATAATTTTTATAGTATTTTTAGGATCAGCACACGTGATTCAATTAATTAAAAATACACAGATGACTAATGTGTTGGGGTAATTTGAATGACGGTAAATCAAATGCCATTTTTAAAGAAACTTATAGTTGGTCCCATATATAGCATAAACGGAGAAAACGTCTTTCCTTTAAGTATTAACAAATGATATGCAAACTCATACCTTTTCCCAAAAAAGGATTTATCCAACTCAGAAAAGTTAGAGCCTCGTACAGATAACGTATTAAGAAATGTAGCTCAAAATAACCATATAAAACAAGAAAAAACAAGCTAAGTGATATATATAGAGAAAAGAGAAATTCTTATTTCTTCCATGTATTCAAGTATGTACAATGTGATGCACAAACCCTCTATTTATAGGATGATATTGAGGTAATACACAAGGATGCCATAAACATGGTACTAACTATTAAGATCATGGGGGAAGATCATGGAGGAGGTTATGGAGATGTGGGAGTTACAACCACAATGGTAAGAAATAGTGGGAGTAAGGGTGTCTAACGAGTGGGCCGGGTCGGGCTGGGTAGGGAAAATTTTGAACCGTACGGGTTTGGAACCGGGCCGGTTACGGGCTAGGGGTTATTGGGCTTAACGGGTTCGGGTTCGTCCGAGTAAAAAATGAACCGTAAAGGGTTACGGGTCCAAGGGGCCGAACCGGGTTAGTGTTTTTTTTTTTTTTTGT